GCCAATCTTCGGCGATCGTGGTGCATTCTTGGGGCATATCTTTTCCATATTGGCGCATTTCACCCAATGTTGGGGCTCTCTTGAGGCTTCTCGTAGAGGTATGTTGGAAGTGATTGGGGCCGTGGGGTCTAGATCAGGGCTATGTTGAAGGCTTTGCTGCTGTTATGTCACTTGTTTTGCGGCCATGCTTTTTCTCTGCTGTTTGACTTCGGCACGTGGTCTTTTTCGTAGCGCCGGTAAAACACTGTAAAAACAAAGAAAAATGAGGTCCGACAAGTGTAAGAAAAGTGGTTTTGATAGTTTTCTTTGTCGTTTTTGCTGCTTTGTCTTATGAAAGCTTGCTCCAGTGTGTGGTCAACTTCGGGGCACGTTTGTGCCAATCTTCGGCGATCTTGGTGCATTCTTGGGACATATCCTTTTCCGTATTTTTCCGTATTGGAGCACTCCACCCAATGTTGGGGCTCTCTTGCGGCTTCTCGTGGAGGTATGTTGGAAGTGATTGGGGCCGTGGGGTCTAGATCAGGGCTATGTTGAAGGCTTTGCTGCTGTTATGTTACTTGTTCTGCGGCCATGTTGGTCCACTTGGCTGCTTTTTCTCTGCGGTTTGACTTGGGCAGGTGGTCTTTTGCGTAGTGTGAGTAAAGCACTATAAACAATTATGTACCATGAAAAATGAGGTCCGACAAGTGTAAGAAAGTTGGTTTTGACAGTGTTTTTTGTTTTTGTTGCTTATGCAAGCTTGCTCCTGTGGGTGGTCAAATTTGGGGCACGTTTGTGCCAGTCTTCGGCGATCTTGGTGCATTCTTGGGACATATCCTTTTCCATATTGGCGCATTTCACCCAATATTGGGGCGCCCTCTCGTGCATGTATGTTGGAAGTGATTGGGGGCAGTGGGGTCTAGATCAGGGCTATGTTGAAGGCTTTGCTGCTGTTATGTCACTTGTTTTGCGGCCATGTTGGTCCACTTAGCTGCTTTTTCTCTCCTGTTGGACTTCGGCGCGTGGTCTTTTTCGTAGCGCGCGTAAAACACTTTAAAAACAATGAAAAAATTGAGGTCCGACAAGTATAAGAAAAGTGCTCTTGATAGTTTTCTTTGTCGTTTTTGCTGCTTTGTCTTATGAAAGCTTGCTCTTCGGCGATCTTTGTGCATTCTTGGGACATATCCTTTTCCATATTGGATCACTCCAAAGAATGTTGGGGCTCTCTTGAGGCTTCCCGTGGAGGTATGTTGGAAGTGATTGGGGCCGTGGGGTCTAGATCAGGGCTATGTTGAAGGCTTTGCTGCTGTTTTGGTCCACTTGTCTGCAGTTTGACTTGGGCGGGTGGTTTTTTGCGTAGTCCGTGTGAAACACAAAAAAATGAAAAATGCGGTCCGACAAGTGTAAGAAAGGTGGTTTTGAGAGTTTTTTGGTCGTTTTTGTTGCTTACGAAAGCTTGCTCCAATGGGCGGTCAGAATTGGGGCATGTTTGTGCCAATCTTCGGGGATCTTGGTGCATTCTTGGGACATATCCTTTTCCATATTGGAGCACTCCACCCAATGCTGGGGCTCTCTTGAGGCTTCTCGTGGAGGTATGTTGGAAGTGATTGGGGCTGTGGGGTCTAGATCAGGGCTATGTTGAAGGCTTTGCTGCTGTTCTGTTACTTGTTTTGCAGCCATGTTGGTCCGCTTGGCTGCTTTATCTCTGCCGTTTGACTTGGGCAGGTGGTCTTTTGCATAGTGTGTGTAAAGCACTATATATAAAATTATAGACCATGAAAAATGAGGTCCGGCAAGTGTAAGAAAGGTGGTTTTGACAATTTTTGGTCGTTATTGTTGCTTATGCAAGCTTGCTCCACTGGGTGGTCAAATTTTAGGCATGTTTGCGCCAATCTTCGGCGATCTTGGTGCATTCTTAGGGCATATCCTTCTCTATGTTCGCCCAAGGTTGAGGCTTGGAAGTGATTGGGGCTGTGGGATCTATGTTGAAGGCTTTGCTGCTGTTATTTTACTTTTTTGCGGCGATGTTCGTCCACTTGGCTGCTTTTTCTCTGCCGTTTGACTTGGGCAGGTAGTCTTTTTGCGTCATGTGTGTATAACATCGTAAAAACCGGACAGACTTAGGTCCGACAAGTGTATGGTTTCTCTGCCGTTCGACTTGGGCAGGTGGTCTTCTGCGTAGTGTGCGTAAAGCACCGTAAAAACCGTGAACAAATTAGGTCCGACTACCCTGCAGCAATAAAATGTTGCTGCTCCGCTTTCCGTGTTTTTCCGACCTGGTTTGCAGCTAGAATGTCGGAAGGACTTCAGGTTGTTTGCTGAAACATGTGCGTGTTTGTGCCGGCACCTCACACGTTTGAGCTACCAGTTGTGCAACAGGTTCCATGGAGAAGCGCAGCCGCAAATGACAACGGCGCTTGATGAAAAAAGGATGCAGTGCAGCTGTCTGAAATGCCACGGTGGAATCACTCCCATCCTGCCAGGTGGGGGCCTTTAGATTTTAGCAGGGGTGCTACTCCTTCCTTCCTTCCTTCCTTCCTTCGTTCCTTCCTTCCTTCCTTCCTTCCTTCCTTCCTTCCTTCCTTCCTTC